AACGCTAATGTTATAACTCCTACTTAAGATGAGTTGCGTTTACACATTTACGCTTATCTATTTGAAATAACTTAATAACTTTCGAGTGAGTCAAGGATTTCCATTAGTACCAATATAAAAGGCCGAAAAATGAAATGATTGTGATTGTAGTCTGAATATAAAAGAATTAGAATATAAAAAGAATAGTATGTAAATAAATCAACAAATAAAGTGAACTTTTAGGTTATATTATTAATTTGAAAATTATAAAATATGTATATATCTATATAGTAAAATTTATATAATAAAATATAATATTTAACTAAAAATGAAATTAAAATTTTAGGTTATCAATTTTGGAAAAAATTAGTCATGGAAAGTATGGAAAGCGTACGCTCGTTTGTTGCTATATATTTGAAAATAGTAGAAAATATGACAATGCAATATATACTATATGTACGAAATATTTTGATTAAACGGCGAAAGCGTCAGAAAGAAATTATATTACAACATTTGTTGAATTTAACACCACCAAATCATTTGCTTGATCTCGGACCGTTATTACAGTTTTCACGACATAAATCAATTTTACAATCAAGTTAAGATATTCAATTTTTATATTGGTATTATTGTCATATTTACACTGCGTCCGTTTACACGTCTTCCTTACGTCGATGTAGAAACTCTAAGCCTCTTCATCAAATGACTTTGAGTTACTACATCAATGGCCGCGTTCAGTAGAACAAAATGATCAATGAGCGTTTAGTGATTATTGTCTGTGATTGGAGCATTCTTTTAGATTCTTCATAGACCCAGAAGTATTTACCAATCAGGAGCGAGAATCACTAAGCGCTCACTGATCACTTTGTTCTGCTGAACGCAGCCAATGTAATAACTTCGTCGTAAAGGAGTGTTTACACGGCATCTAACGTCAGTAGTTATTACATCGATGTGTTATAAATTTGGCGTAAATTGGGCTGTGTAAACGTAGTCAGTGGCTAGCAGAAGCGTGAAGAATGTCCAAAACATGGCGGAATCTACGTTTGTCGCGTTCTTGGTCTTATGAGTGTTTAATCCAACATCGCGCAACTTTGCAAATTTATACCCGCGAAGACACAACTCCGCGAAGACACTCCGCGGCTGGCAGCGAAGATGGTGAGGCCTCGGGGCGAAAGAGACGGGGCTAGGCGACAGAACGACGGCTACATGGACGCGGCCCCGCGGCCGGCAATGGTTGCAGCACGGACATAAACCGCCTGAAAGTGGATGTAGCACGGACTTTTACCACATATAGATTTTACCACAGAGACCTGAAAGTGGATGTAGCATCGTAGTTCCCCTCTCAAAATGGATGCAGATGGCGTCCTTTCCCAGTGCGGAAAGTCGGTGTCAAAGAAAATGCCGTATTGGCCGCTCTCAGGTTTCTCTCTGGTTATACGAGATGAGTCACTAATTATAATATAAGCGCTCCGTCCAGTTTTGGAGCTTACCGCTCATATAAACATATTACTATAAGGTGTAATTTGTACAAATAATAAATAAAATTAGTCGTTAATGCAAATATATTGATTCATGTAAGGCGGTATGAACTCGATTTTAGCGCCATTTCTTATATACTACAATAAACAAAAAAAAGGTAGAGTTTGGATAGGTTTAGGAAAGATTTGGTAAGCTCTAACGACTTGGTCTTGGAGAATTATATTCTAGGGAAGACAAATTTAGATTGAAAACGTTATAGCGTAATCGGCTTGGTAGCCGCTCTTAGGCCGGTATTCATAGTCGAATCTTATATTTAAGACCGTCTCAAATTTATCTTCAGATGCTGTACAAATTATTTCATTGGCTACGAAGTATCTGAAGATCAACTTAAGCTAAGACTCCATGCATGCGGTAAGCTCCGGCAAACGGCTGCGGTGACCAATCAGGAGACAGACGCATGCCGGAGCTTGCCGCAACCGAACTTGCGCCTCCCTCCTGATTGGTCATCGCAGCATTTGTCGCAGCTCACCGCATGCATGGAGTCTTAGCTTTAAGGCGATCTTCAATATAAGACCTGACTATGAATACCAGGTACACCGTAGGTTTCTCTCTAGTAAAAATAATTAATTAGATCTAGTAATTTACCAGAAAAAGCTTTACACATATTGGTTATGTTTAATTGTACTGTGTCGAATTGGGAGCCCCGACAATGCAACACTATGACTACGTTTACACAGCCCAATTTACGCTAAAGTTGTAACATCGATGTTATAACTACTGACGTTAGATGCTGTGTAAACGCTCCATTACGACGAAGTTATTACATTGATGTAGTAACTTAAAATCATTTGGTGAAAAGGCTTAAGGCCCATCTACAATGGCTGCAAGAATAAGGTTGTAAGCGTAAGCAGTAAGAAATGGACCAACCACAATCGATTATTATAAGAATAATGGATTATGGTTGGTCCATTTTTTACTGCTTACGCTTACAACCTTATTCTTGCAGCCATTGTAGATGGGCCTTCTGAGTTTTTACATCGACGTAAAGAAGACGTGTAAACAGACGCTATACATATTTTATAATTTTCAAATTCATAATATAACCTAAAAATTCACTTTATTTGTTGATTTATTTGCATACTATTCTTTTTATATTCTAATTCTTTTATATTCAAAATACAATCACAATCATTTAATTTTTCGTCTTTTTATATTGGTACTAATGGAAATCCTTGATTCACTTTACTCGAAAGTTATGTTATTTCAGATTGGTGACAATAAGATAAGCGTAAATGTGTAAACGCAACTCACCCTAAGTAAGAGTTACAAGGCAAGAGCACAGACTTCTGCATAACGCATAATACACAACGCATAAGAGAATCAATCAATCAGAATTCTTCATTTCTGTTCTGAGGAGAGAAATGAAGAAAACCAATTGGTTTATTCTTTTATGTGTTTATTCTTTTATGTGTTATGTATTATGTATTATGCAGAAATCTGTGCTCTGGCCCATAACATTAGCGTTTTTAAGTCGAAGTTAGAAGCCGTATAAACGTAGTCTATTACAGCTAAAAAGAATAGACTTTAGTCACACAGTAGTATAGTATACACAGTAGCGACGCTCTCTGTCGGCACCTTTGATGTTAGCATCTTCAAAAATGAATTGCACATGCGCAACCTCGCTACCTAACCTAACCAATAGCAAGCAGGGTCTATTTGAGACTATAAACGCTTTGAATGCTAAAAAAAGGTTATTATACGGTGTTCAAAGCATTTATTAGGTTTACAAATGAATAATCCAATTTTCTCAGCTACATTCAAGGTTTATTTTAAAAGAAAGTAAATTAAATTGTTCAAAGTATTCGCCGTTGCTTTCTATAACTTTAGGCCATCTTTCAGGCAGCTGATGAATTCCATCTCGGAAAAATGTTATGTCTTTGGACATGATAAAGTCGTCAAGCCATTTTCGGATCTCATCCACTGATTGGGAGTGCATATCGGACAAGGCGTGTTACATCGACCGGAACAAGTGATAATCGGATGGAGCAATGTCTGTTGAATACGTCGGGTGCTGCAAGACGTCTCAGCCAAGACTCATTATGGTGTCTTTTGTGTTGGAAGCAATGTGTGGCCTGGTGTTGTCATGCAACAATTTCACTGGACATTCTCTTTTGCCAGTATATGGGCGTTTTCGTTCCAATTCTTGACTCAAGCAGATTAATTGACGTTGGTAGCAGTCGGCAATAACTGTTTCACCCGGTTCCAACAACTCATAATAAAGCACACCCTTGATATCCCACCAAATGCAGAGAAGAACCTTCTTTCCGAAGCGATTGGGTTTTGCGACCGATTTTGATGATTCGCCGGGATTTACCCATGACTCTCTGCGTTTCGGATTGTCATAGAGTATCCATCTCTCATCGCCTGTAATGATTTTCCACAAGAAAGACTTTCGACGCTACTTATTGAGAAGAGAAAGACACGCTGCCACTCGTTGATTTTTGTTGGTTTCAGTGAGTTCATGCGGAACTCATTTTCCTTCTTTCTGGATCTTTCCCATCTCATGTAGGCATTTGGAAATCGTTTGCTGCGTTACTCCCAACTGTTCTGCAAGCTCTTTTTATGTTTGTGCCGAATTCTCAACGAGTTGTTCCAAGTCGTCATTATCGCACTTTGGAGGGCCTCCAGAACATTGTTTGTCAATTAGACTGAAATTACCGCTTTTAAACCGCTTAAACCAAAATGCGCACACATCGTACGATACAACACTTTCGCCGAAAAAGGAACAAATCAATTCGCACGCTCTTGCAGCATTTTTTCCTTATTGGAATTCGTAAAGAATGCAGTGTCGGATATGCACCTTATCTGTTGCCATTTTCGACTGTACTGAACTGAATACTTTTGAAGGTTATGTTGGGCCTTTCGCCAAACTATATGTTCTTTTTAATAACTATATGTCAACATTGCATAATCACAAAAGAGCGGGAAAATTTATTCAATTTAAAATTAATGTCATAACTGCTTAAAATAATTTGGATTATTCATTTGTACACCTAATACAACATTTAATGAATTGTACTCTGAAAAAAATTAAATAAATATATAGAAAGAAGAAAAGAGAGAAAGAGAACAGAAATTGAAATTAACAATTGTGACAGAAAGATGGTCTGCACTTTTTAGCTGCACTGCTGAACTAAGTGTAATAAGTTAGAGTGAGACATATAGTATATTTTTTCTGCGAGAAAGGAGATAAAAAAGATATCTATAACGCTATTAGGGCCGTGTTTACTGGCTATTCACTGCCAGCGCTGAAAAGTTATAGTTTGCGTGACACAAACTATATATTTTCAGTATTAGCAGTGAATTTTGGAACACGGCCGCGCATGTGCAGTCTAGCCTTGGAGACGTAAAGTTTGTCGTTACTGTATACTGTGCTTTAGTTCTTTGAAAAAGAACAAGCCAACCAAAGCCAACTGAACACATGCGACGGGAAGCGCGCGTATTTGTGTATTTGTTTCTTGTAGAATAATTGCATCTTTTTCTACAAAGTTTATAGTTTTTATATACTAATTAAAGGATTTTTCTATTGATTATCAACAGTATATTATAATACTTAAAAAATGGAAATATTAAATGATACTAAAAGCAACCTTAATCAGTCTATTCGGTTGTTGGGTCAGCAAAATATTCATCAAACATCGTTTCTGAAGTTAAATAATGATATCGCTTTCAGAGAAATGATGGAAAACAGCACAGCAACTGGAATAATTTTGAAAGCAAATGAACCATGGCGAGAAGCCAAGACTAAGCTCTACTATGATTTCTTACAGAGCATGCAAGCACATTTTTCTGAAGCGCAAGTATTTGACACTATTGCAGATTTTATACAGAATTGTACTGACACATTGGATATAATAAGAGGTATCATTTCATATATTATCTCATCCTGTGATATTATTTTAATATGTGATATATCAATGATAATATGTCAATGTATCAAACACACTATATTGAAACATAGTTTCTTGTAGGTATGCAGTCAAAAGTTGAAAATACTGAAATAGCAGAAGAGGAAACCTCTTTAGAAAGTGAAAGAAATATCTGGAGACTGATATATTGTCTTTATCAAAATCGTATAACCAGTGCCAGTATGTCTACTCAAATGGAACATGATGAACATGCGAATAGCAATTATATTTCTGAGAAAGATGTTATAGAAAATTTGTACAAGTCTGAAAGCTATATTAGGGAATATCAGTTGATTATTGACTGGTTAGAGAAAAATGCTTTGGACCAAGCAGATAAATATCCTTCCATAGAGCTTTTCACTGATAAGACACTAGCTTGGGAGAACACAGTCCATCAGTTGCATAATCGAAATTTAGGAATTACATTTCTTTCATCTAGACCACTGGTATCATCTCTTGATCCTGATGCACCTATACGAGAAGGTAAACCATTGCATGATTTGGACAGAGAGGATGACGCCAGACTTGAAAAGAGAATGTTTATAGAGGTATGTTTATTGTGACTTGCACAAATCTTTCAACAGAATTTAACACTAATCTTAAAATTTAAAACAAAAATATATTACAGGTACGCTGTGGACGCCTTCAAAAAGCTCAGGCATTAGCTATGCATTGTGGTCAACCTTGGAGAGCTGCATGTTTATTAGGATGGATTCCCAATCATGATCCAAATTATAATATTCCACTGAAAGACACTAAATTGCCAATTGAGGGGAATCCTGATAGGAGTCTTTGGAAATTATGTGCCTGGGAGATGTCTCAAGATAAACGCATAGGTAAAGATATCAGATGAATAATAAGATTATGAGCTTTATTTATAAATCATTTTGAAATTTTTCAAAAAAAAATTTATAACAATATGCTTGTTTTTATATTCAAATGTGATATTATCCATAGATAACCCTAGATAAAAGATATTCAAATGTGGTATTTTTATCAAACAGGTATATATTATCGCGCCATATACGCGAGTCTGTGTGGTAATGTCCAACTACTGCTACAGATAGCATCATCATGGCAAGATGCATTATGGGCATACATGAAGACTCTCCTAGACATCAAAGTCGAATCGGAAATGAGGGCGACAATGGCAAAAATTTACACAAATATGCCAGAAGAATATTGGAAGAATGAAATTGCATTAGAAGACGCGTTTAAAGAGCTACATGCATCAAAAAATCCCGTGATACGCGCACAATCTGACAAACCTGATCATTTGATACAGAAATACATAATATTGGATCACACATCCAAGTTAATGGAAGAAATCGAAAATATGATAGACGTTGGCCTCTGCGACTCGCAGTTTCTTAGATTCCTGGCACATTTAGTATTGTTCTTCAGACAAATCGGAAGAAGTACGAAGGATAAGATCGAGGATAAAGTATTACAAGCATATGTACGTGTTCTCATTGAGATGGGCGATCCGACTCTAATCGCGTTCTACACTGCGACATTACCGCAGGAAGGCCAAATAACTAACTACGCCTCTTATTTAGAGCGTGTCAAAGAGCATGAAGAGCGTAAAAAGTGTCTATGTGCCGCAGAAAACGCGAACTTAAATGTGGAAGCGATCACGAAGTTGGTGGTGGAGAATATACGTAAGAAGAACTTGGAATGCGATCCAACGGACCTGAAAGGAACCGTTACCGACGCAGACATGGAGACGATCAATGCGCTAGACTGGCTAATTTTCTACCAAAATCAGCGAGAGGAAGCTCTGTGGCAAACGAACGCACTCATTAGATACTTCTTAACTGCTGAAAAAATCGATGCGGCACGAAAGGCTTTTAACAAGGTGCTAACTAATCGATCAATCGTTATCGGCAATAATTCGCTTTTTTTTAATCTGATAGCTCATTGACGAATTGTTTTTTTTTTTATTATGTAGTTAAATGGTGTTTATCTATTATACCCTGCAGATTCCATCAGATTCCGTCGAGTCCGTCGTGGCTGAATATCCGAGCATGGAATTCACGCTTGCGAATGCTACGATGACGAATAACTCGGCACGAAAAGCGGCCTCTTCCATAAGAGAATACCTTTGTTATAAAACGTACCTCGATGCCCTAGAGGGCTTTGGTGAATGGTTTTCACATTACCATCATGGCAAACCCACGCCTTTGGAAGAATTACCAGCATACGCCACGTTTACAGAGAAAGTCGCGTACGATCACAGGAAAACACAATATAACGTGGAGCTGGAAAGGTGGAAGTGTACGATGCAACATCACACAAAGGTACGCAGAAAGTTTGCAGAAAGTACATGAACCGGAATATAAAGCTCTCCGTGTCTTGTTTCAGGCTGTAAAGCAATTATTATTTAACGTTTTATTATTCCCCGACGGTGGCTGGCTCGTCGACTCAAAGGGCAGCAACGATGAACCGTGCACGCCCGAGGACGAGCTCAGAGACCATCAGTTAGAAAAACTTCGTAAGCTTTGTATACCTAAAGTCACACTCCTGTTGTATTCCGTTATGTGCGAGATGAACGAGCATGCCAATTGCATTCAACTGGCCGACATACTCGCGTCCGAACAGCATCAGCTATACAAAGTACGTGTTGACAGCACGCTAATCGTTATAACATATTCAAACATGAATATTTGTCTTCTCGTACTGATATATATTCGGTTTCGATACGACTTAAATGCTTCTTTTCCAATTAATTCCCAGAATTTAACTTCTGAGAGATTATGGGAAACAAGTATGTTGCGTATAATAAAATGTATTAATTCACTAATTATCTTTTACATAGGTATTTCCCAAAGGCAGATTGCGCGAGGTATTTAAGAATATATGCGAATCTTCCCTCATCTTGATGGACCAAAAGAAAGATCCTTGGGGATATCCGAAATAAAAAATTCGAACTTCTAATGTATTGCCATGTAAATTTGTGTATACACTTTAAGATACGAACATTCGTATGGTCAGACGTTTCCTCTGTTACTTTTAATCGTCATTACAAACCTGTGTAGGTAATCTGTGCCCCTTCTCTCTCTCTCTCTCTCTCTCTCCCCCTCTCCCTCTCTCTCCCCTCCCCCTCTCCCTCTCTCTCTCTCTCTCTCCCTCTCTCTCTCTCTCTCTCTCTCTCTCTCTCTCTCCCTCTCTCTCCTCTCTCTCTCTCTCTCTCTCTCTCTCTCTCTCTCTCTACATGTATATATATATATATATACTTTTTTATAAAACCAGTTTATTGTCAACCACAAGAAGTGAATATAAAATTTGATACAATGTTCAATAATTCATAATCATAATATATCATATACGTCGTGTGATTACTTAGATGCTTCTTTTACCCAATTGTTAATAAATGTAGCGCTATCAAAGCCATTAAGATTAACGTGTGGGGATGTGTGACGAAACTTATAGCTGATAAAAGAGCAGAACATCCTGAGATACATTTTCGCAGCGACACTTAGAAACTTTGAATGACAATTATGACAGATACACGTCTCTCTGTTCTCGTATTCTCACCGAATCGTAACGATATCGGGTGTACAATAAGTTCGCGCACAACGACGAGAGAATCGACGTACCGAATTGCAGGGATATTATCACGAAAGGAAAGCGATGCCACTCTTCGTGTTCGAATTTAAACGAATGTCGTATCAATACGTTAGAGAGTCGTATAGTGATATGGTTCTCTCATTGTATATTCTCTATTCTAATGTCAAAGTGAATAATGTTTCTTGTCGACAAGAGCAGTCTTCTTTCGCTCAAATTTTCCTCTCCTGAAAATCATAGCGTAAGTTTTCTTTTTTCCTTCTTTCCCTCTTTCTTCCTTTTTTCTTCTTTTTTTCTTTTTCTTTTTTTTTGTTTTCTGGCTCCGACGTATGCGCGTTCTAATTAACGCTCCGAGTTCAAACTCATCAGACGCACATGCTACGCATAGACTATATAAGAAAATTAACATCCGACCAAGAAAGAGAGAATAAGTCCTCTCTCGAAACAATCGGAATTTTTTACGACGTTCGTACGCTCTTTACGATCAGTCGTCGTTTTCGTCGTCGTCGGCTGATCGTTTGCTTTTCCTTTTTTTTTTTTTTCTTTCGTCTTACGAGATATATCGAATCACGAATTATACGATAAGGATTGACTTTTCATTGCGTGTTTGACACGTGCGCCCGCAACGATACGGTATCGTGCACGCTAATATCTTAGTGTCCCCTACGATGAACTTACACCTTGACGACGAATAAAGGGATAAGCATCGTATAAAATAACTCTTTCTCGAGGAAAGCATGGAAGAAAACATCGAATTGAATTTTATCTTGATGCGCGAGTATCGCGAGATGAATCCGTTCTGAAATTGCTCGAGGACATGAAATTTATTATACATATCGCGACAGCGCTTCTTTCTCCCCGAAAGATAAAAAGATCTCAAGAAAGGAGCTTCGGAAAGCTCTCAAACGACATTGAGACTCAAGGAATGTCTAAAGGGTAAAGAGAAAACAGGAAAGGGAAGGACAGCCAAACGCTCCCGGAGAGGTTTCCTCGGACGCTTTCTCGAAACGGTCCTCAGCCGTTCGTGTATTGTCTGCACAAATTTACTTGGTGAGTCGTAATAATTATAAACGGACTGCAGATTGTATCGATTCTTTGCTCTTCGCTCGTGCAATCTCGCTGAGATCGCTACGTCCTGCTCCTCGGTCAGCATCGCGCACATCGTCCTCGCGGCGAAGAGAGGATGCATCACGTATTCAATGCCGTTTACTGACACGGGAGGTGCTGAATTTAAACTCGTATACAGCTTGACACGTATCAAGGAACGATCGAGAGTCTCGCTCCTCCCGAGAGATAAATTCGTTCTCGCGCGCGCGCGTGCACTCGACTTAGGAAGGTACGAGTGCCGTGTGTTGTGCCTTGATTAAGATAGAGTTTGCGATAACGATTAGACGATTAATGGTGTTAATTGTTAGTTAAGCTAGCCTAACACGTAAACGTTGAAGAGAAACAAGGGGGTTGACAATTCGTACGTTCTGCGGAATACAATTCGACACGCGCGGTCGGCGTAAAGAGAGAGACGATCGAATTTTGTGTGTTCACCCGCTAGTCCGTTTGCATTCTCTACGAGAGACGTCCTACTCGCTAACACGGATGCGCATTTTTCTCCTTTCTTTTTTCCTCGTGTGCGGAACAGTGTGCCTAAAAGAGGGAGAGAGAGAAAGAGAGAAGGAGAGAACGCACTCTGAGAAACGAGCGTTCTCCGCCTTTCCTCTCGGATTTTTCCAAATAGAACATGAATTATCGACTCTCGCGAGACTCTCTCCTTTAATTCACGAAGTCCGGATACAACAACGGCGTGTGCTGAACTTCAAGTACAGACGGAGGAAGAAAACAAAGAAATAAGCGATTAATGCTAGCCCATACAGTACGAATGTATAAGAGAGATCTTAGAGACATCTGAAAGATATTTCACTTGCTTCAGACGTCTTTAGAGGATGGCCCGGAGACGTACTTCATACATTGCTCTGTTTGGGAACGTTGTTGCAACCGTACCCGACCGATGTAGCAGAAACTTTTAAGAGGCGTTTTACAGACGTCTTTGAGAAGTTTCCACCACCCGGGGAAATTCGCACTTTGCTTGCCGCGAAAAGAATGCCTCGTGGGACACCACAATTGCAAGGATAATGTAGAAATGCAATACAATCAGACTTCGTCGTTCCGTGTATACATATTAACAACCCCCATTCCTTTCTTAAAAATACGAACTCTAAAATAATCATCTCACACCCGCTGCAAACACGATAGCATATTACTAACGACAAATGACGCATTAATGATGTATTAAAGACATCGATGACCCATTAATACATTATCGTGTCTGCCAGAACTCTTACAAGAACTATCTAAATCGCCTCATCGAAGCGATCGCGAAGATCGCTCGTACTCAAGCGCGACCCTCTCTGCAACGTATTGTCTGAAATATTGTATCTGCGCGTGTACGAAGCTGGTCGTTCGGTTTCAAAACATATATATGAACGTATATGTCGAATAACATGCGCGAGGAAGATACAAGAAAGGACGACACAAGGGAGCGCGAAGCTCTTGCAATACCGCGTCTTGCGCGCGTTCGATTGCCGAGGTCACGTGTATGGCAATATAAACGTAAAGTAATAATCGCATGCTCCAACTTGATTGGTCCGCCACGCAATAACTTGAACGTTCACGAGGAAACGACACACGGAGATCGCACGGAGTTGCAAGAGCTCCTCGATATTTCTCTCGAAACATCGATCGCAATCGGCTCGTGATATCGTGACAAAGTAATAATCTAAATGTATCTTCGATTTGGGTCGAGCCGTTATTCACAAAAGCGTTCCCACGCTTAAGTAGAGACTTCGAAAAACGTATGAAATCTAAGGAGTCGTACATTAGAACTAAACGCACGCTCTAAAGACGTTTTACTAAAGTCTGTAAACCTTATTGTTAGCATGTACACTTACAAGGAACATCTGCGAAGTGTGTCTCCAATTTCAACGAAATTTGGCATATTTGTAGAATAAAATAAAAGACCCGTATTTCTTTTATCGGCAATGGTTTAAGGGGTAAAACTATCCCTCAAAGTTTCATCCCCTTTATGCTATCTCGATAATTATTGCAAATAGAAAAAAAATTTTTAACAAAACTTGTGCGGTTTTTTATGAAAAATAAAATAGGCTTCGTTAAAATAAAAAAATATTTTTAATAATTAGCAAAATGACCATATCAGATTTAATTAATTAATTTATCAATTTCATTATATAGAAGAAAAAGTTAGCATTTTTCATTCTGAATCCACTCATATATAATGTTTTATATTTAAATTAAACATATATTGCAATTTTATAAGTAGAAGTGATACCATAAGTAAAGCCCTCGGTCATGTGTGAGCGCTTAATCGCTATATCGTTACGCAAATAACGAACATCTATTGAACAAATCTTTGAATGCATTTTAATTAATACAACAATATAAAATGATTCAGAAACTATTAACACATAAACGCGGGCTGCCGAACACTTTTTTTATTTGCAACATATATTCCACATCACATTATTTTTAAGTATGTTTAATATAACAGATGAGAAAGGTATACATGTGAGTTTATATTGACATATTACACATATATGTATATAAAGATATTATAATTTTAAATATTTATTAATATCCAGGTATGTCTCTTGCTCCGCAATAAGTACGGTGTCTTCCACACACCGTGCTATATAATATTCAATAAATTATCTTTCAATTCTTTTTCATAAACATTCACCAGCTTGGCATTATCTTGCTTGTCTTCTACATTAAACAAGGCTAGAAGCAACGCGATAACATTAAACAGATTAATATGCACTATTTTTCTCGTACGAACGTGTTATAAGCACTTTAACGTATAACAAGAAATGTCTCATTGCGGAATATTTATATCGTTACATATCTACATCGTGTTATTGCACAAATATTTTGTAATAATATAGCATCAATAAGAAAATAATATTATCTCATTAAGATGAAAAATAAAAGATGTCACACAAACATCATGAGGATATAAAAAATTTTTATTAAATATTAACTAATATCGCACGTTCATGCGGTAAGTCCACAAGTCAATAAATTGATAACATATTAATAACAAAATAATATTATCTAATGCATAAGTTGAAAAATGAAAGGAGAGGTTACCAAATATAATTATAAAAATATAAAAAATATTTATTACAAAGAGATTGATATCGCTGACCGATAAGTTTATAAGCCAGAAAGTCAAAAGCATTTTTTATTAAATCGTGTTTACAAAGTTGATTTCATAAGCATTAATATACCTAATTTCCTTTACCAATACCTTAAAATTTTACCTGATTGTTTGCAAAATGATAGAGAAATTTTTATTTTTGAATGTATCTACAATTGACATTCTTGAATGCATGCATTTTGCTAATAATTCTATGAAATTCTGAGGTATTAGTGAAAGAAGATATGATAATGCGGTGAAAAGTCATCTCTGTAAGCACGATTTAATCAAAAACGATTTCGACTTATCGATTTGTGGAATTATGGTACAACCGACATCAGTTGTGCAAAACGATTTTGTTATGATGATGATGTTTAATATTTTTGATCTTTTAGTTTAATTACATGATATTATTTTCTTATTAAGATTTGTTTTGAAATATTTATGCGATAACACTGTACATATATAACGGTATAAATACTCTGAAATGAGACGCTTTTTATCAAACATTAATATTTCACGGCAAGATACGTCGGTGGATATTTATGAAAAAGAATTGAAGGATAATTTATTGAACATTATACAGTACGGTGTGTGGAAGACATCGTACTTATTATGGAGCATACCTGGACATTGACAAATATTTAAGATTATAACGTCTCTATATACGTATATCTATAATATGTCAATATAAACTCACATGTATACCTTTCTCGTCTGTTATATTAAATACACTTAAAAATAATGTGATGTGGAATATATGTTGCAAATAAAAAAATGTTCGGCGGCCCGCGTTTATATGTTAATAGTTTCTGAATTATTTTATATTGTTGTATTAATTAAAATGCATTCAAAGATTTGTTCAATAGATGTTCGTTATTTGCGTAGCGATATAGCGATTAAGCACTCACACACGACCGAGGACTTTACTTATGGTATCACTTCTACTTATAAAATTGCAATATATATTTAATTTAAATATAAAACATTATATATGGATGAATTCAGAATGAAAAATGCTAACTTTTTCTTCTATATAATGAAATTGATAAATTAATTAATTAAATCTGATATGGTCATTTTGCTAATTATTAAAAAATTTTTTTTATTTTAACAAAGCCTATTTTATTTTTTATAAAAAACCGCACAAGTTTTGTTTAAAACATTTTTTTCTATTTGCAATAGTTATCGAGATAGCATAAAGGGGATGAAATTTTGAGAGGTAGTTTTACTCCTTAAACCATTGCCAATAAAAAAAATACGGGTCTTTTATTTTTGGCTATTCTACAAATCTGCCAAATTTCGTCGAATTCGGAGACACTTCGTGGATATTTCTTGTTAGTTTCAAACGATTTGTACTCATTTCTTTCTTCTGCATGCACTTTGGAACGCAGTCGATAGTCCAATGAGACAACTTGTCTTTTGTTAAACTTGTTTAATCGACTATTCAACTTGCTTTTTATTGTCAGAAGTTTTTCTCGTCGAAGCTCGTCGGCTACATTCCAAACTACATCGAGGGAAAGAAAACGTTCAAACTGTTTGAAATCAAGCTTACATGCGTGCATGTGTCTGGTGCCTCTGTGTGTGTGTGCGTGTGTATATTTGTATGTAATTACGAAGCTATTCCTTTCTCTCGCATATAATCCACCGTTTATGAAAAAAACGCATAAACGCCCGCACCAATGTAATACGATAGAAGTTCCATTCTATCCCGCCGCACGCCGCATTTTTTCATTTGTCGCTCCACGTGCCCTTACGTACGATATAATAGTGCATGGATGGAAGCTTATAAGTAAATCGTTTTAGTATATGTTAATTCAAAGATAGGATCTAGAGTTGTAAACGTTATGCGCTAAATACATCGCTAACAATTCGAAATCACGTTTGAAACTGTACAACATTGACGACGGTGGTCGCTCGCTCGCTCGTAATGCCGGACGACACCGTTGATACGTTGAATTTTTGCCAGAGGCGCTTCTGCGAAATGCTTTTCGTCAATTTTTCTTCCTGCTTGTCTTCTCTCCCCCCTTTTTTGCTTTACGCATTAATGTACATATAGCCGAAAAGTTTCTCTTAGGATCTAAGCTATTATTTGTCTCTTATGAACTAACAACTTGGGACGTCATCGGGCTGCTCCTAGAAAAACGGATACGTGCGTCGATTAGTCGAAGAAACCACGTAAGTTAAATCATGAGCAAGAGGAACTCTGATCAGCTTGCATGAATGTATCGAAACGGAAACGATCAAGTAATGAAAGTATACACGGACGAGTCTTTTACTCTGCATAATTTTGCAAAATTAACTTTAGACAAATGGCAATTGAAAGAGACACGTATATGTATGAAAGAATTTCAGAGAGGAAATTTGATTATCTATCATCTGTATTTCTAAAGATTTGAACTAATGCCGAAGCTTATCGAACGTTTTAGCCTACAACTTCTTCAATCGCTGAAATTAGAATGAAATTTTACTCGTATCACACAACGAATGATATATTTATCTACATATTATTATCTATATATACATACATATATATATATATATGTATGTATATATGTATATGTATATATATATATATATATCTATATATATATATGTATTGTCTGTACATGTATCATGCGAATGGAACATTTCACCTACGAGCAACTTACGAGTTATGTTTTATTGAGGAATCATACACGGTTTAGTCTGCTTCGTACATTTATATACGCAAACGATCAATGCGTATGCACACACATGACTCGCTATGTGAAGATTAGTGAGCTCTGATTACAGCAATTGAAAAAGAGGAAATCAAGGAAAACAGAACGATATTACGTAACCGACCCTTTCTCAGAGCAGCTCGCTTCTATTGTAGATCCTGCAAGTTGATAATTTATTATTGTCATTCACAGAAGTAGGAGTTTTATCCGCTTACAAACTAGAATCTGTTACTTTCGAACGATCCTCTTAGAAAAAACGAACGAATGAAAAATATAGCGATAGCCTACGGCCTCGAGCAGAGATCTCGCTTATTGATCGGGATTGCCCTCGAGTACTGTCATATTGAAATTCAGCGACACAAACATCGATTAAATGTTCTTATTGTCATTTATTTACTTACATGATAATTAGTACGAGTTTCTACGTTAACGTCTCTTAACGTGTTAACTCTCTTCGCCCTTCGTAAAGCTAGATAAGTAAATTTTCTTTTTCGTTTCAGAGATTCCTGTTTTGTATATGATATGTGTATGTATGTATGTGTGTGTGTGTGTGTGTGTGAGTGTGTATGTGTGTGTACATGCTCATGTAATTAAATACAGACTGGTCTTCGTGCGATAAGCGGTTGAATAGCAAAGAATTTTCTGCTGCAAATTTTGTGGACACCCTGGCACTTGGGAGCTGGACACACACTTTACGACTTAACATTAGAGAAATGTTACGCTAAGCCCTCTCTATCCTAAAGTGATTATGTATTCAGCTGATTTCTCTTGGTTGCACGTCTTATGTATCCCTTGCACGTTTTGTATAACGCAATGATATATCTGCGAGTATTTGCCACAGGCTACCCTTCCATAACTTTCTTCTTAGTAATTTCATGCGCGCTTCCTTCCTTTTTTCTTTATTTAATTAATGATATTGTAATCATGTCGACATCAACAATATGATTAGAATGATATTGGATATCCGACGGAAGTGACGCATAAAATCGTTTCTCGTGTGCGATAGAATAAGCCTGTAGCTCTACTCGTGTGATATGCTTGACGCACAAGAGACCAGTTCCAAAGTACTACGCGGTGTCCCTTGTCCGAGAGTGGGTCCTAATCCTTGTATAATTAGACATTTATTATCTGTACCCAAGGCACATTTTACACTTTCATCCCGTTTTAGGAAGGTCCACTCTATAGTATATACATATAGCATCATTACACGTACAGGGGATAGTTTGCAACTTGCATCTCTCTTAAATATTACTTTTTCATTACTTTCTTGTACATAACTCTCGTTTCATTGGCGATCTTCTCTCTATTTTCTTTTTTCATTCCTTTTCTCTTTCTTTCTTTCTTTCTTTCTTTCTTTTTTTCTTTCTTTCTTTCTTTCTTTCTTTCTTTTTTTCTTTCTTTCTTTCTTTCTTTCTTTCTTTCTTTCTTTCTTTCTCTCTCTCTTTCTCTCTCTTTCTCTCGTTGGCTATTCTACGTATTATTGTCAAGTCGACAGCATTTATAAATGTATATCTTACGTACTATCGTGTCGATTTAAAGTTACATTAAGATCAACTATAGCTTTGTGCAAAATTTACATTGTACATGTATCGCTGATGCACTTCAGTTTCCTTGCATCAAATTTATGCGTATAGCTGTATGTTGATCAGCGTATTCCCAGATATACATTATCCTTTCCCTCGATAAGAATACTACATCGTTATTGTCAAAATTTCATTGGTTATCCAGTCCTGATCTCAATTATTATTGTCTGATATCTTCTGTATCATTATTGTCAGATGTTTTCAGCTCCATTTTATAATCATTAAAGAATATTGAAATTTTATGTCCCTGTGTATATGTTTATATGTGTAAACGTGTATGTCTGTATATATGTATATAATACATATGTGTATATATATATATATATATATTATATATTATATATATATATCATATAATATGAAATATTGAATCTGATAGGTCTTAAAAATATTTTGCTAATCTTTCATCTTATGAGTAAAGCTTACGTGCTAAATACTTTCGTACAACCTTGTATCGTGTTTCGCCGATTTAACAATCGTATTTGTATTGTCATAATTTTCATGACTGTATCTTAAATCGACCGGTATTCCTCGTCGTCATCTTCGTCCTCCTCCGTCGTTTGTTCCGCGTTGAAAGAAAGAAATTTGTCAATATATATTCATCTTGAGAATAAAAAGACTGCGACCGTGGACGTCAGGAGGATTGCAAACGTAGGTAAAACTTGACTGACGTCGTTCTTCTGCAACCGGTATCCCGCGTCGACAACATGAATTTTCCAGCCTAGATTGTTGTGCGTGTAACACTGAAGAAGCAAGAGAATCAAAAGATAATTATATAAAAAAAGTTTCATACCTGATATTCTTTTTGGTTTAAGACATGTTATAAAGAGAAAAATTCTGAGTCATCTGTACTCTAAACTATATAAAGATCGCATGTAATTTCTAAGATATGTTATTTTAAAAGACCATAATTTGCAAACTGGTGTACGTAAATAGAAAACGTAACCCAGAAAAAATGACACACTGTATGTTTGTAACGAGGCGAAGCATAACTCATTCTCAATATAATTCAATATAAAATTACAAAACTTGAAGTTGATATATCTTAGAAGCTACATGTGATCTTCACATGGTTATAAAGTAAGGATTATATGCAGGGTGTCCCATTTTAACTTTCGCATTAAAAAATCTCGAAATCTTCGAGTTGGACGAAAAAATGTTTTCAGATAAAAGTTTTAGGGCTGGATGGGGGACATACATCTATGACCTTGACTTTGACCCTGAGGTCAAATTTCAAGATAATTTGAAGGTCAAAGTTATTTTTTTAAATGGAAACCTATATTTTTGACTTCAGAAATGAAAAGAGCGGAAAATTTTATGTTCAGATATGGTACACACTTACGGTTCGTAGTGACCTTCAGGGATCATTTGCAAGTCAATCAAGATGTTATTACATCTTGATGTCATTACAGTAACATCATCATCAGATAAGCCAAAACAGAAAAATGTGTAAGACAGAAGTTGTAGGGATCAGAGTGGGATTTAACGGTGACCCTGATCTTGAAGTCAAATTTCAAGATCGTTTGAAGGTCAAAGTTTTTTTTTATGGAAACCCATATTTTTATATCCAAACATGAAAAGGGCGTTTTTTACTTATGGATAAGAATGACGCCTAAAGATCATTTGAAGGTCAAATAAGCCATCATTGTTAAAGTCTCTTATGATGATGATACAGAATATTTGAAAAAAAGTCATTCGCCAGTAACCCTGCTCTTGACATAAGGTTAAATTAATTTGACCTTCTGATCCATAAGCAGCAAGCATACCTTGAACGTAAAATTTTCCGCTCTTTTCATTTCTGAAGTCAAAAATATAGGTTTCCATTTAAAAAAATAACTTTGACCTTCAAATTATCTTGAAATTTGACCTCAGGGTCAAAGTCAAGGTCATAGATGTATATCCAGCCCTAAAACTTTTGTCTGAAAACATTTTTTCGTCCACTTCGAAGATTTCGAGATTTTTTAATGCGAAAGTTAAAATGGGACACCCTATATATAAATAAATATATATGTATATATATATTCAGAACTCCCTTTAGAACATATATTATAATAAAAAAAGTCCAAATGTAATCCTTTCTGCATAATTACTTCAGGTTACATGAAGTACACACGAGAACGTGTATACAATGGAAAGTCTGTCTACCTAAGCTTCGTAAATGCCGATAAATCACCGCGGGTCATTCGGCGTTGAGATAACATCTGCATCCAGATACATGCATCCAGATACAGCATCTAGACACACGCCAGCAGATCCGAGTCGGTATCTCAGATACATTCGATTTGGGATATTTGTATCTAGATGCAAAACATAATATCTGAACGTCTTTTCAAATACATTTTCAGATATATTTTCACGTATTTTTTATCAATAATGGAAAAAAAGTATGTTTTTTTTTGCCTATGCAGAGATCCTCAAACTTCGATTGCAGGAACATCGCGGCTCCCGTTAACTAGAGATCCCTCAAGGATCTCTACAATGGTAACGAGTTGCACTGATTTGCACAAATGTACATCGAAACAAGAAAAAGATTAATTTCATTGGCTCCGCCATAGTCCTGCGACGTCTCTAATCCTGACGAAGCATTCATTTGCGCATTTCTTACTCTTGAGGGTCTCTATGCCTATGGCTTACTGGCGCCACTGTAAAATGGCTAAACTTGATTCCAGAAACAGGGATTTTTTCAAAAACGACCCTAAACCATGAATATTGTAAAAGCTTGCTTATTACAAAAGCAAAAAATATGAGTAGTTAAAATAACTAAGCTAGAATACCTTCTGATGGCTCTTTGTTCTGATGGCTTAGCCATCTTCCGTGGAAGATGAACAATTCTTTAAATTTTAAAAAGACCAAGATAACGTGCAAACAATTGACAATGCCATCGACATGGAAGTTCTTTCTTATTTGTCAGACAAGCAGAAAGATATCGCATCGATAGCACGTTATCCTCGTATGAAACATTTGTTTTTAAAATTCAACATGATTATATCAACACCGGTTGAGCGTTTATTTAGCATTGAAGATCAAATTTTAATACTGCGGCGAAATAAATTAAGTGACGATATGTTTGAGGCATTCTTGATATAAGACTATCGACCAATTTGTATAATTTTAATGTAAACAAACAATATTAATAAATAATAAAAGATTTGTTCAGTATATATTATACATATTATCATTACTGTGATAAAATGTAATTTAAAAGTATCTTATATGTATCCGAGGCACTTTCAAAGTATCTGAGTATCTGAGCCTGGATGCGCTTTGGTTTGTGCAGCTGTAGCTGGGTACATTTTTCGCATACATCTGCGCCGAGATATATTTGAAATGTATCTTGCCCATCACTGATCTGTGCCCGATACGCACACGTATGATCGGAATTACCTGATAGTATACTAAGTTCGGTGTGGACTCCTCGACGGTCCACACGAGCTTGGCGGGTTCACCCATGTCGCATTTGAGCTCGAGCGTTTTGAAAAAGTCGTTGAACGTCTCGTAGTTGTCAGCGTTGTCCACCGTGGTACGCACCCACTCGCAGTAACGGCCGGCCGCGGTCGGATAGGGATATCCCTTGGAGTCTTCCTTCACACCGGCGAATATCATCTGCTGCTCTTGTTCATCCTTGTTCTTCTGTCCGAAGCCACCCTCCGGACTATTGGTTATGTAAAACGGATGATACCTGGATCGACGACATACACATTTCAAACATCATCCAACTTCCATCCACAATAGCGTGAGTGATATCGGGAGGTCGAGGCGCGATCTGCCGATCTAATCTTGTTCGTGCGTACATATAGTACAATTTGAGGGATGTCACCGCGAATGAGAATATGACTTGCCTAGCGGGATTGCTGGGATCGTTTCCACCCTCCACGATAAAGGTATAAGTCTGGCCCCTCTCTACGGTGATCTCCGGGATCAGCAAGTCGTTGATATACCATGCGATGCCCCAAGAGGATGAACCTGCGCAGCAATAAAAATCTGTTAGCTGATCGAAAAGTGACTGCATGATATTTTATAGATAGAGAAAACCTTATAAACGATTTCGCGTGGCTTGTATTAATATTCTGACAAATATCGTTCAGCATGTTGTTCTGAGCGATGGGTATAATAAAAAAGGAAAATGATTATTAATAATCATTGATACTTTTGTGATTTAAGCGTTCAGAAATCGTCCGCAGGGTCCGAAGAAATAGACCCTTATCTCAATAGACGCCAACTAAAATTGACGTCACAATCAATATTGTAATATTTCATTTAACAATGCAGGTGCGATACAACACATGTTGCATGCAACAGTTACATTATTAAATAAAGAATTATAATATCGATGTAATGTTACTGTTAGTTGGCGTTTATTGAGTTTTAAGTATATTTCACGCATTTATTTGAACGTAACATTCGCATTTGCCAAAGGACAACGAACTTAACGTGCGACACTCCATCGAGACGTCATGGTCAATACCTGTTATTTGTGAGTAGCCTCTCTTCGCGCCAGTCGGGCCGATTCTGGCACTGAAGGTGTCCTTGTCATTGATAACAGCCGGTGTCCAGGGCTTAAGATCGGACGAGTCTGGAATATTGTACAGAGAATTTGTACACTCATGGACGTTCCTCGATGTGAAATCGATACGAATGTCCTCGGTGGTCTTATCGAATCTCTCGTGAGCATTGGCTTCGCCCCTCGCGTTCAGGGGTCCGATGGCAGCGATCACGCTCGTCTCTGTTTCCGGGATCATCCTGTCCTTTACCGGCTCGTTGGTACTCAACGGACGCGTATACGTAACTGTGTGATGAAAATAAAATTGCACGACAGTGAGGGTTGTGCCTGTTTAGCACTTGGACCTACTCCGCACATCATCAGCTAGCAAACTGATGCGAACGCTTCTAGAAGTAACTCATTAGCGCGACATTGCTCACATTGACAAATTGATAATCAATATCTAAACCTAAATCTAAAAAAGTTATATCACACAATAATTTTGTAAAAAGCTGATGGGAATCGAATCAGCAATGAAATCGCGAAATTGTTGAATTACTCGATCGATTGAATTGCAATTACACCGATACCACATTCTAATCATCCGTCAATTATTGCATATAAATATATAACCGATAGAAAGGCTAAAATGAAATAAGCTAACAATTCAACAAATATAGACACTGCGAATTGTGCACTTCTTTCTGCCACTTCAAATTTCATTAACATGTTTGGTAACACGAAACTTGAATTAAGCGTGGAAACAATCAATGGAAATCAATCAACAAGTGGCAGTCTCAACATGTTAAACAACGTCTCATTTGAAACTAGCGCTATTCGAATTACGTGTGAAAATCGTATATAAAATACCGAAGAGAAACCACCGTGTACACACACAACGCGTAAGATACAATTCTGATGTGACCAGCTGTTGGCTATTTCTTCAACTGCCAGCGTGAAACGTAGCGACATTTCCAACGTACATGACGGTAATGAGAGGACATGTACCAGTCGTTATGCCGTTCTTCCGTTCGCCATGCACGAACACCGCGTCGTTTCTACCGCCGATCCTCTTGTCCGGACACACGCCCTTCTTGCCGTCGCACTGAGCGAAGTCCGACATGTAGTAATCCTCGGCGATGAACTTGCCGGTCCTGTTGTCGTAGCCGATCACGACGACATCGCCGCCGATCATTTCAGCTTTGCCCTCCCGACCCGACAGCCCGAACGCCACGTATTGGTCCTCCCTGATACGTCCGGAGACTTTAATCTGCACGTTCTCGCCCATCAGCTGCCACTGCACCTGAACACGGCCCTCCAGCATCTCCTTGCAGTTGCTCACTTGCTTAGGCGTGGGTGTGCTGCTCGTCTAAACGGGACAAAGGAAGAAACGGTAATGCGAACTGCGCGTCGGAATTTCAAGCGGACCGTCGTGTAACGCGAGATCGACATCGATCGCGGGGACCACTTACCGGATTGTACCACCATGGCGGCTGTTCCACGTGAAAATTGAAATTGAAAGGTGTTATATACAAGAGAGGATTAGACCGGGATTAGTTGGTTAAATTCTAGTAAGAACGTGGTAATCGGATTTTATCGTTGGATGTGTGTGTGTTTGTGTGCGTCGTCGACGACGGTTTCGTTGTATCGCCGGGACGACGTAAAGAACGCCGAGAAATTTCCATTCGGGCGAAATTTTTGCGGCGAGCAGGAGATCGCGCGATAATTAAAAGGCGCTTGCTGGAAAAAGAGAAAGAAATGAAAAGAATGGCCGAAGACAAGACAAGATTTTGTCGACGGCGTGGGTCGCCGTGCTATTGAACCTAAATATTAACGCGCGGCTAGAATTACGCGTCTTTTATCGTGAAAAGACGCCAATGTCCCTCCTCTTCACAGTACATTCAATACGTCGCCATTGAGTCGGAGCTTTTCATCGTGTATATCAAAGAGCGGAGTCGTGTATATTATCATCTCATAGTGCACGTTAATGAGGGTACGTAAGGCACGAAAGTTTTAGGAGCCTGGGCGGAGGTCGCGGATGAGAGGAGAGCGTATCGGGGTGCAGCGGATTGAGAACTCATTTTGGTTTACCGTAATTTTCGTCTGGCCGAGAGCCGGAGGTACGTCGAGGTCCTTTGGAATTAGAACGTGGCCGAAATTGTGTCTGTACTCAACGCACCAAACCGCAAGCCAGTTGATGTCGTACACCGTCAAGTTCCCCGGCAAAACAATCTCGATGTCCTCTCCTTGGTATCCTCTTAATGGCGCCAAACTGCCGGCGAATGAAATCGATAATTATCCTCGTGTGTCGAGTAGATAAATAATAGCTACGCTTAGCGTTGAATCTATACGCGATTAATTTTGTTGTAGAAAAATTCTATACGATAAGATCAATTTGTCGAAATATTTATGCGATAATAAGATAAAGAGTATAAACGAAGATAAATAAAAATGTGTGAAGTGAACTTGAAATAATAATAAACACAAACAATACATATAGCAATTAATTTTTAACGTAAAATATAATAATTAGTCAATATGATTAATAAGAAGAAACGTAATAAAATGAGTAGCGTAATAAAATAATCGACAGCAGAAACACGAGGATAAACGGACAGATAACGGCTAATAATAATAATAATTAATTAATCAATTCCACGCGTCTCAATTCACCTGCCTATCTCGTTGGGAACCTTGATACCGAAGTGGCTGGGTTCCGAGCCGTTGCCCACCCAGAAGTAAGCGTCCGGGCCGCCACCATCGTAATGCAAATTCGGGATGTAGATGGTTTTGCTGTCCAGAATACTGACGTTGCCGCTACGGAGATTGTGCGCTAATCTCGAGAACTCCGGAAGCACTTGCAGTTTTGGTACTTTCAGATCATACGGTATGTAAACGTCGCCGAAATCGACCTGGAACACACGAGAGTGACACGGTTACTTCTACCTGGTGCACGAAACCGCTGATTCCGCACGATCGCGATTGTTCTCGCGATTACTCCGGCTCTACGTGACATCAAGGGGAAGCGAGTCGCAGATATATGTAATGACCGCAGAAACGACTTTCACGGGGAACGCGATAGCGCGTATCGATCGCAATCGGGACGCCGCCACTATACCGCTTTTACGATCTTTATAATTGGGACTACTCCGCCAACGCCGCTAACTTCGCGCACCTGCTAATTTATCCTTCTGAGGACATGCATTTACACTCACACAGTGCCGACGAAAGAGTCGATCTATCATCCCCTACTCGGCGCTCGAGCTGACGTACCGATGAGGGGTCTCGGCTCGTTTATATTCTAAGTTCCGTCAAACGTCTTAACGTGAGAAAAGGAAATCGAGAAAAGTAGAAGAGCGGGAGAGAGAGAGAGAGAGAGAGAGAGAGAGAGAGAGAGAGAGAGAGAGAGAGAGACAGAGACAGAGAGAGAGAGAGAGAGAGAGAGAGAGAGAGAGAGAGAGAGAGAGAGAGAGAGAGAGAGAGAGAGAGAGAGAGAGAGAGAGAGAGAGAGAGTAAAGAAGCAAGTTATCGGTCGAAGGTTCGTAAAATCCGAGAAACGGATTCCACCCTCCGTATAACGGGACTTTACTCGTCGTCTCTCTCCGGGGAGCGTTTTATGGGAGAAAATTCAACGTTCGCGACGATTTCTCAACTCATTCCGAAACCCCGAACAAATCTATTCGTGAATGGCGAAATAGCGAGCTTATATTATACTGAATTTCCTCGGGCGGATTCTCCCCGTTTTCTTGTCTCGCGGGAGCGTAATAATCGAGTTTCTCTCTGCATCATACTCACAATATTTCCCTTTAGAGTCTTCCTTCTGCATAAACAATTTTTCAAAGTTGGAGTTACCTAACTTTAAATAGATGTCGATTATGCTTCGTGTGCCTTCAATTACTTTCTTATCGTCCCGCTAAGACGGTACATTTTACATTAATTTCACGCGAATCTTAAATAATAACGAGGAAACTCTCAAATGAGTGTCTCTTTGCGGTATCGTAAGATAGTTACCGTAACAAAGTATGTAACTTTCATGTAAAGATTTCATGTCAATTGCTTTCCACAGCTTCGCTTCCGCAGCCACGAAATAAAGTGCAGTTTTTCTGATTTGCTTGAATGGACGCACTCGCGCACGTTGAATTGATATGAATCGCCGATTAATATAAATTTAAAAATCCTCGTCACTGACGTCGGAGTAACATCGACGAGTATTTGTACCCGGCAAATAATTCCGCGAGCTAAATTATATAACATAGCCGAACTCCCTCCCTCCCTCCCTCCCTCCCTCTCTCTCTTTCTCTCTCTCTCAATTGTGGCGGCGCAAAGTTGCTCTTCGAATTCGAGACACGTCGATGAGAGCGGCGAGGTTTTGTTCTCGCGAGTCTCAATCCCATGCCGCGCCGTCTCGGCCAGCGACGGAGCAACAATTTATTAACGTCGCTGTTTGTTAATGGCTCGACACAAAGGACCGGAGAGGAACAGTCCGCAATTGAACGGTGAGAGTAGAAAGTAGGCGAGTCGTGAGTAACGCGCGATTCGCCGAGCGCCAGCTTTGACCCGCGTCTAACATAACTCTCGTTATTTAACAATGGAACTACTGGAACACTGGAACGATTAACGTGACCTATTTGCACCGGAGCGATCGAAACGTCGGTTAAAAAAAGAAGAATATGTTTCGCGCAAGAGACAAAATGTGTATTTATTTCTTTCAGTTTTATTCAACGTCTATTAAACACATGAAGTGCATTGTTGTATAAATTCGAATAATTTTTGCAAGGGATTACAAGTCAGTCAGTTGGAACGCTTTGGTAGTTTGGTGTTAAATTGTTACTGAAAAATTCTATCGAAATCGTCGTTAGTGCAACACACACACATACATTGTCATATCGCTCCCGTTGTCAGCGCTACACGCACACACATACACATCCCAAAGACTCGATAGAGCTTCGCGCGAGCAACTGCATCGTAATGAAATTATCAGGCGTCGCGCATTCACACAATTTAAATGGAGATATAATTACCGGCTAAGAACCTCGTCGCCTGCAATTCTACATTCTAATTACGGTCGGTAATTGAATAATTAAAATTGAGATGTGCATTTAATTAGGAGCTGCTGAAGGTTGAACTGGATAAACGATAATATTTCCAAGAAATTAAATTAAGAAGATGCGCGCGTGTGTGCGTGCGAGAGGCCCCCTCTCTTTTCTCTCTCCCTCCCTTTTTCTCTCTTTGCCCGACTGGCAAATAGTTCCCTAACTAAGATTATGCCCTTTGAGATCGCGCGACTCGCGACGACGAGTCCCCGTGGAAAACAGCTCGCCTCCCGGGAAATATGCTCTGGGAGTTACGAGAGTTACACATTTCGCAGGGAATCCTGCGTGCGCGGTACACACAAATCAACGACGCGACGCGGAAGTTCCATCGGTTTTCCGAAGTTCCTTTGTGCGACTCACGCGCCGCCAATTTCATTTCTAACAGGCATAACCGGCAAAGTGGCTGGGAAATGTGATGTTCCCGCGTGTACACAATGCTGCGCACATGTACGATATTCGGTAATTTACATTTCCATTTCCCGGAGTATATTTGCGACCTTTGTCCTTTGAAGTCAGCGCCGGCACCTTAACGTGTCGTGATTTAATTTCAATGTCGATCGCCCTTCTTAACGGGTTATCAATTGTTACATCCACGTAACTTTTCTATGAAATAATTCATAGATGCTGCTTATGCCTTCAGTGATTATTGATTATCGATTACTCTGACATGTCGTACTCGCACGGTGGACTTTCACCGCGCGCTTATAAACAAAATTTCTCACGCTTGATAAGGAATAGAATCCGAGCTGGATATATCGATAACTGAGAACCATCTTTCCCCTTTTCTTATCTGAGTGGTGTCAATTCGCGCGGGGGTTTCTCACCACTATAGGCTATAAAAATAGGCAACGACACAATAGCTCAGCTCATTTTTAATTGCTCTATCATACAGTACACTTGGTATAGTACAAAGCTCAGCACAGTTTCTTTGAATTAAGTCAATTGTTTGTTTCACCCATCTGATTTACTCATCAATTTGGATTATTCAACTAATTCGTACAATCGCTCACATTACATCAAACATCAGTGGCGTTATAGTGGTATTATAATATTAAAATTTGTCTATTCTAACCTGAGCAACTACAACCGGTATGTAAAAGAATTAAATAATTTATTAAATAATTTAAAAGATGGTTTCTCAAGAAATTATCCCATTTTCTTGCTTTCTTCTTTCAATACTAATTCTCACTCACAAACACTGCACACAAACTTGTCCGTTCCGAGGTAAATTAGTTAAATCTATTGACCTCAAAAAAGACAAACACATCAACATTCACATTCGCGATGTGACACATGGGCGTTCGTTTCGGAGGATGAAAAATACTGTTACGCGCTGGGTGCCGATAAGCGCGTATCCGGGTTCGCGAAAATGATTTAACACTTGACTGAGAAAGAACTTTACTTTATTATCGTTATTTACAAAGATATTTACAAGTTTCTCTCGTCCTATTAATATTTGAGAACACAGCGTTTGTCACACGACAGCTCGCGACGACGACGGCTCGTGTGCCTCTGTCACAGTTATTATTTGTCTCGTTGCTGCCCAGGGAGTAGGGAGATCGCTCTTCAATCTTATGGACAGGTATCGATTTTCCGTAGCTCAGCTGATCAGATCGTCCCAGCTCCCAGCTGTCCGGCAATTAAAAGACGGGCGACACCACATACCATGGCGCATAACAATACATATGTCATTTGTAATACCGGAATTCGTTGATAATTAACGGATAATTAACGGAGGCTGCGACGTAGGTGTCATTGAATCTACCGCGTGGTGATCCACGTGGGTGGTAAATGCCAGCGAACCTGGAGAGAGTAATTTTTCGTCGTTCATCATAAAGAGCTGTTACCGCAGTTGTCGAGGTCGACCTAAAGCCGCCGACGCAAATTTAGTCGATTGCAGTCGATTTGCAATTATTGCTAAATACGTGGGCTTGCCGAACCACTGCGGAGTGACTCGAGCAGCTCCACCGTTCCGTAATAATATGCTAATTTCCGTTGTAGACAAGTAGACAAGACGTACGAAATAATTATGTGTAATTATTATACGAAACGATAAAGCAAAAAAATTATATTTTTTTGCTTTATTGTTTCGCTTTATGTGTAAAAGTACAATAATTCGTTTATTCGTATTCGTTTATTCGTTTCGTATAATAATAAAAATCAAAGGTGTGCGCGCACGCGTGCTCGTGGCTTAAATTGAATAAATATGGGTCGAGTTCTCTTCGTCGCGAACGAAATGCCGAGTTTGATTGTTGTTACTCGCGAGGAACGAAAGTAATAGATGCAAATCCCGACTGGAAATATTACCGTTGTCGAGCTTAACATGTCTTAACATGTATAGCTTCATCGATGCGAAACAGCGACGTTGATCAGTCAATTCTGAAGATACGCGATGATCGCCCGAATTTTACGCGGTCTTTTGACCGAGAGAAGGAGATGAATGATGCCAGTTTCTCAGTTATTCACGGACCGCTGCGGCCTGGATGAACGGCACGCGACCGCGCGCACTGAATTTCATCATTAATAATAATTATTATCGACGAGTTGGGACGGACTCCCTCGAGACTCCGAAATTTGCATGCGCATTAATCCCATTTCGTTTAAGGGCTCGTCAATCATACCGCCCTTCGCCAACTGATGGCGGTGTACGATGAGCTCGGAGAAATGTTCTGTACGAATGAGCCGTGCGAAAGCGGCTTAATAGCATTTTAAAATTGGCAATCGCCAACCGCACTCTTAGTATAATCAAAGAGAGAGAGAGAGAGAGAGAGAGAGAGAGAGAGAGAGAGACAGTAGTCAACTTTCGGTACTATGATATT